GGGACCCCCCTCGGGACCCTCCTCTGGACTCCCCCCTGGGGACCCCCCTCGGGACCTCCCCCACTTCCGGCAGAACGGAAGGGCTCCTTCGACTCAATTTCGGCGTCCTTTGATTTCCGTTTGGCTGGATCTCTTGAGGAGGAGGGCTTAGGGAAAGGGGGGGAGCGGGACGACGATGAGGACGAGGACGAGGACGAGGGCGACGAGGTCGAGGACGAGGACGAGGACGAGGACGAGGACGATGACGACGACGATGACGACGACGACGACGACAACGACGACGACGACGACGACGACGACGACGACTCAAACGGAAAAGCGTCTCATACACGCCGAAGGGTCAGTGGATTTTTGAGACCGCGGTTGGCCATCGCATGAGTTAGTTAGGGGGCAGGGAGAGAGAAGGATGCCACGGGGTAGGGAGAGAGAGAGAGAGAGAGAGGGCGGGAGAGAGGGAGAGAGGAGGGATGAGTGGAAGGGTTGCAATGACTGCACGGCCTTTGCTTTATGGCCCTTTGGATTGTCTGAGGGCTCTCTTGGTGCCCTCTGGTTGACGGCCTTTGGGGCCCTTCTTTGCTCTCTCTGGTAGTCGCACGATTCGTCTTGGCGGCCTCTGGGGCCGCTGTGCACCCTCCCCCCCAAGAGCTGTCTTGCCAGAGGCTCTCTTGGACCTGCTTGGTGGGGCTCTCTTGGGTCGTCTTGGGGAGTGCTTGGGCTAGCTCGGCGTCTTTTTGGAGCTGCGTGCCCTGAGCGTTCTTACAGATCCAGTCTTGCTTCGATTGGCCTGCGCCGTTCCGCCGGCCAGAGGAGGATGTGGGCGGCCTCTGATTTCGTATCGACTGTCTGCGGCCTCCCGCCGTGCTCCTTGCGTGTAGCCCTTGCTGGTTTGGTCCTCCTCTTCCTCCACGCCCGCCTCCTGTGGAGACCTGGGGGGGGGGCCTCGTGGCAGCCCTCGCTCGGGAGCGCACGAAGGACGTGCACGCACGTGGATCCGCCTCTGTTTCGACCGTGCGCGTTGCGCGTGCGCGAGTGCCGTGAGGCGGGTCCCACGGTCTGGGGGGCCCTACTCGGGCAGGTGGCTCACCGCCCACCAGACCACCTCAACCCAACCCGAAGGCCCCGATGTGCCCTCCATTTCCAGTGTGTGTGTGTGTGTGTGTGTGTGTGTGTATGGGGGGGGGGCGTTGGGGAACATGGGGAACAAACGCGCAGGAAACCCGCCCCCCCCCCTCAGCCCGAACCTCGGGCCTTCGGGTCGGGTCGGGGTGGTCTGGTGGGCAGTCAGCGGCTGGGCGCGCACGCCCCTTGTGGGCCCCCCTGGCGGGGCCCCCCTGGAGGAGGAGGAGGAGGAGAGGAGGAGGAGGAGGAGGAGGAGGAGGAGGAGGAGGAGGAGAGAGGAGGAGGAGGAGGAGGAGGAGGAGGCCCCCTGGGGGGGCTCTTTGGAGCCCCGCGGGCCAGGGGCCTCCCTGGGGGCACGTCGAAGGGCCTGCCCTGCAGGCCCTCCTGCGGGGCCGCAGGGCGCCGGGCCTCCGCCCTCCCGGGGGGGCCCCTCTCGCGGGGCGCCCCGGCCAGACTCCGCGGACCTCTCGGCCGCCCCGGGGGGCCCCTCTCGGGCCGCCCCTCGGGGCTGCGCCCGTGCCCGGTGGGGCGCTCGCTCGGGAGCTCCCAGGCCAGGTGTCGGGGGGCGGAAAGGAGGGGGGTGGTGACTAATTAGGGGGAAGGTGGATATCATGGCCCCCGCCATGAAATCTGGGGAGATATCGTGGCGGGGGCCATGATGTCTCCCCAGATTTCGTGGCGCCCCTCCTTATGCCATTGCGTCCCTGGCCCCCCCGCGGGGCCGCGCACACGCCGCCGGTCATGATTTGCACCCCCCCCCCTCTTGGACACCCCCCCTCTTGGCCGCTCCCGAAGGTGGTGACATGTCGGGCGGCGACCTGGGATCCCCCAAAAGTCACCGCCGGGCTCTGGGGCACGGGGTCCCCGCCAGGCTCGTGACTCCTGGGCCCACCAGCGTTCGAGACATCCTCGAAACAGCACGCGAGTCCCCAAACCGGGTGGTGACGCCAAATCGCCCGAGACTCACCGCGGGTGTTGTCACCACCTCGTCTGGGGACTACCGATTCACACAGTGAGTGCTTCAGGCGCGGGTGCGGCCTCCGCGCCGCCGTAGCAATCGACCTTGCAGCGCCAGCCTTCTTGGTGCTGGGCGCCAGCCACGTGGCCGGATCATTTCCAGCATGCAACCTCTCGCCAGCGGGCTGGCCCTGAGTGCAGCGCGTGGCAGCAGCGGCAGGTCCGACGACAACCGCACCGGGCAGGTGGCGTCCGCCTTCAGGGGTCGCCCGCTCAATGTGCCGAGCAGCCGAGCACAATCGCGAGTCACGCGCGCACGCACGGCAGTGCAGGCAGCTAGCCCATCAGCTCCTGCGCCCTCCAAGGAGGCATCGCCCTTGGAACCAGTGCGTGACACCACGCCGCCTCCAGCCTTGGTGCTTCGAGAACGTGTTCGCGCACTCGCGGCCCACCGCGCAACATGCTGGCAGTGATTTCGGCTCCGATCGGGAGATCCACGCACCACAAGTACTTCGCAGCACTGCTTTCCAAGTAAGGGTCCCAGACTAAGCCAAACGCGCTCTACGTGCCAACTGTGCGCAACTCCCACAGGCGCCGTTCCCTTCGAACGACAAGGGTCGAACGCCCGGCCAGCTGCACGCACTTGCAAGTGCGCGCCACGAGCTGCTGGGACACGTCGTCTGAGACCACGCGCCGCCACAGCCGCCTACGCAGCGTGCGGTGCGATCGTATTCGGACGTGCCGCATCTGCCCAGAGCTACCACAGAGCCCTGGCAAGTCAGGACACACGGACGGCTGGTACGATAGCGGGGCCCTGTCTCCAGACGGACCGCCGGCCGAGCAGCCCGAGAGTCGCAAGGTCGCTCGGGGCCTCTGACGACCAGAGTTGGAGATCTAGGGCGCGGCCATCCCCCTGAACAACACGGGCAAGACCAGGACCCTGCGCAAACGACGAGCTCATTTGAGACGATCGCCTGTTCAACGATGCCTGCGGCGCCTGCCGCGACAGCGTCGGCGCCTAGCTCGACCTGAGCGTCGGCCTGGGCGTCAAGGAGCTGTCCGACGCCTTCCCGCCGCGGAGCACCACCGACCCATCTGGTCGTTAACGCCATCCTGGATGCGCGCCCGTCCATGGTCGTCTCGGATTTGTGAGGCGCTTCGTGAAGCAGCAGGACTTGTGCGACATCTCGGCCTGCATCCTGTACCCGATCTGCGTCACCCTGGAGCCTGGCTGGTACTGACCAGCTGGTTGCAGCCCGCCAGGCCCCCGACAGACGACCAGGCCAAGGCGACCACACTGGCCGACAGGCGTCAGGAGCAAGTCAGGAGGGGAAGAAACACACAGACACAATTATTCGTCGATCCCCAGGAAAATATGGAGAAATATGGGAAGTGGGGGGGAAGACAAAACCCCAGACAATATGAGAAAATATGGGGAATCATTTTATTCGTGTGTATTTCTTTGTGTGTCCCAGGGCCCCTTGAGCAAGGTCCGGCGGCCCGCGGCACGCTGCCGCGAACCATTGGATGAAATGTGCCTGCGCGCTCGTCAAGACAGGCGCGGTGGAACTCCACAGATGCACATTGAACATAGTTTCGCTGCTGGTCACGGACACTGTGCGGCCTAAACCAAAGCCCTCGCAGTACCCGGTTCCGGAGCTGTGGGGGTGGCGGTTGAGGCCCCGTGGCTAGTGACGCATTGGAGCGGAGACGAAATGGCGACAAGGCGCAAGAAAAACATAGTTGCGCTGCTGGCCCACCGCTGGGACTGGCCACCCCGCCGCCACCCGCGCGCGGAGGAGTGCCGATGGCGGGCAGCCGTGCCAGCGGGGGGGCTGTGGGAACGATACCGGGCACCACTCTGCCCACAAGGCGTGAGCAGTGCTGCGGCTCGAGCGCGCGCCGGGCACGATCTGCGCCGAGCCCCCGCGAGCAGTGGTGTCCCGCTCCCAGCCGCCAGGCAACATCGGCCGGTCGGCACTGCATCGGGAGAAGGAGCCCGTTCTGAGGGTCTCCTCTCCGTGGGGTGCCGTGTCGGTCCACGACCCTGGCCACCAGCGCCTCCTACGTGCGAGTTGATCACAGACGAGCCGACAAGGCTCCCCAGGGTTCACGACGTTCTCTTCGAGTTGTAGCTCCTGAGCCATGTATAAGCTGCTCCGAGCGTCCAATGCGTAGGCCTCGCGGTCAATGTTCTGGCACCTCATTGCGGGTGGTCCTTTGTTGCCGAAGTGATGCGGAGGGACAAACTCTCCATCGCCCAGTAGCCCCAGCTCGAACAGGAACGTGCGCGCGCGCGCTGCCAGTCTGGCTGAAGCGCGCACACGGTGTGTTTGATGTTGTAGGACAAAGGCTTCCGCTTTGCTATCTCTCATGTTAAGATTGCCGCCGTCCCTCTTACCCGCCACTCCTAACACCCGCAATTCCAGCTCTTCCTCCTCCTCCTCCTCTTCCCGTTGCTTCCTCGTCCTCGTTCTCCTTTTTCCTCCTCTTCCTGCTTCCCCTTGTCCTCGTCATCCTCCTCCGCTTCCTCCTCCTCCTCCTCCTCCTCCTCTTCCCCCTCCTCCTCCACCTCCTCCTGCCAGTAAGGTGAAAGCATTTCTTACGTTACAGAATTTCATTATCCAACTGGCGGCGCAGACGCTCCGCCGTTCGTAGTAGTGGTGGTGAGTATTTCAGTCGCTTGGGCGCTACGGTTTTCATAAAGGTGGCGCGCGGTTTCCGTAAAGGTGTTCCTCCAGCTCAGGCGCTCCGCGCTCCTTGTCATCCCGTTCATGTTCAAGGTCAGGGGCGTTGCTCGTTAGTATAGTATTCGCTACGCCTCCTGCTCCTCCTCCTCCTGCTCCTCCTCCTCCTCCTCCTCCTCCCTGACCCTCCCCCCTGCGCGGCGGCAGAGTCGCCGCGCGCGGGCGCCGGGCTGCGAGGTCGTCCTCGCGGTGGTTTTACTGCTGGCGCTCACGGTGGCAGTTGGCATCGTGAAGCTGTGGATCGACAGCGTCCACGCTCAGGTCGGCGAGAGGCTGAAGACGTGGCGCCTCGACATGCGCAAGGATCACGGACGGTTGGCCGTTCTAGAGGGGGGTGTCACCCCCTGGACTTACAAAGTGGTGATCGGCACTATGCGAGGGAACAACCCCCGGGTCTTCGCTAATCGATAAAACCTCGAGCTTCGACCTTCAATCGATCCCAAGATGACTCCCAGACAGGCTCGTGACCCGAACGGAGGAACAGCGCCGCACGGGTGGGCGAGACGCGTGGTTGTTAGGACAGTAAACGAAATCGCCACTTTCTGGCGGCGTGCAAAGCGGCCGGAAGATCTCCCCAGAAGAATTCTCAGGCGATGTCGCCATTGTCAAGCGCATGACGATCGATTTGCATTTTGTCTGGGGAAATCCCACACGAAATTGCAACTCTCAGATGCCATGACAAATTTTCAGATCTCCCTTGAAGGAGATCTGACAGTGTTTTGGAGAAAGTCTCGGGCGGAATCGCACTTTCATTCGATAACCCCATTTGGCCTGTAGAATATTAAAAGGGGTGATAGATGCATTTTGAATTCCCAAATCGGCCCGAACTCCAACAGTGTCCCAGGACCCCGCGGCCTAACGGGAGGCCAGCCGTGTCTTTATCGATCCCCACGGTCTCCATTTTTTATTCCAGCGGGTTGTAGGATGTAGGAGGAGGAGGAGGAGGAGGAGGAGGAGGAGGAGGAGGAGGAAGAGGAGGAGAGGAGAGGAGGAGGAGGAGGAGGAGGAGGAGGAGGAGGAGGAGGAAGAGGAGAAAGAGTGAAAGGCGCAGGAGCTGGAGGGGAAGGATGAGGCGGAGGAGGACGAGGAGGCGGAGGACGAAGAGGATGAGGAGGACGAAGAGGAGGATGAGGAGGAGGAGGAGGAGGAGGAGGAGGAGGAGGAAGAGGAGGAAGAAGCGGAGGAGAAGCACGAGGAGGAGCAGGAGGAGGAGGAGGAAGATTTGAGGTCAAATTGCTTGGGTGCGCCTTGACCCCATCGGTGGGCCCAGTTCCCTGGTGCCCCCACCCTGGAAGGCACGGTGCCCCGACGGAACAAAATGGTTGAGCAGCACGAAAAGGCCTGACGCGAGCGGTGTCTGGCCACTGGCTGGATTGCTGGGCTCAGTGGCACATCTTGTCCAACAGTGTGGGCCGGCGATTCCTGGCCGTCCATTCCATGCGAGGGAGGGGAAAACGGGACACTCACCCGTGACAGTGACTGCCCCGGGGTGGCGCTCCGAGTAGGTAGGTTGCGCTGGATCGGACCAGCCGCTCGGGTCTCTGCCCTGGTAGACACTTGGAGCTCGTCGACGCCAGGCCAGCGAAAACAAGTCGCATCACGCAGGGCGCCACGAAATGACGGTGTGATGGGGTGTGAAAATCGCGCCGGTGCGCGCGGGGGTCCGGCGGGCGACCTGGGCTGGCGTGCGGGCGCCCCCCCTGAGGTCCTGGGGGTGCCAGGTTACGCCTCGAGCCAGCTCGGGCCAGAAGGCTTGGGCCAGGCATGAGCCAGAGCTTGAGCAAGAGGCTACGGACGCGCCCACCGGCAGGCGAGAGGAGGGCCAGGTGTAAGCCACGCCCACCGGCAGGCGACAGGGCTCCCCCCCTCCAGCGTGGCCACCCAGGTGGGGCCCGCGGCTCACTCGTCCCGACAGATGGTCAGCAGTAGCACCTCCTGCGGCGGCTTGGCTTTTTACTGGGCAACCGCCTCGAGCCTGGGGGCTCCCGAGGCGGAAGCCACACCCACCGACAAGCGGAAGGAGCTCGTGCCGAGCACCAGGGGTGTCCCCGACAGACTAGGCTCAAGTCGGGCATGTCCCTCTACAGGGGGAATCTGCAAAAATAGTCCATACATAGTCTGGTGACTGGTGACTATGTTTGGAATATTTTTGGGCACCTTCTGAGCAATTTTTGGGGTATTTTTCGTTTTTCGTTCAAGATCCCCCTGTAGGGGGACGGGCCCGACCTAAGACTAGGCAGCCACCTCGCGCGGGGGGGCGCGGGAGGCCCCCCCTGCCACTGTCGAAACACGCTGTTCACTCACCAGAGGTCTCGAGCGGGGTGCTCATCGGATACGGGGCCCCCGCACCTTCACAGCGGCGCCCCGTGCGTCCCCAGACGATAGCTCCCCGGAGGAGTACAGAACAGCACTGGCACGGGGAGGAGGAGAAGGAGGAGGAGGAGGAGGAGGAGGAGGAGGAGGAGGGGGAGGAGGAGGAGGAGGAGGAGGAGGAGGAGGAGGAGGAGGAGGAGGAAAAGGAACAGGAGGAGAAGGAGGGGCAGGAAGATGTGGAGGAGGAGGAGGAGGACGAGGTCGAGGAGGAGGAGGAGGACGATCACGCAGAGGGGAAGGAGATCCACTGCCTGGCCTCTTTGCCCCCCCGCTCTCTTGGCCTGTGGGAGGGGCGGCCGCCTCCTGCTGGCTGCCGGCCAGCTCTGCCAGCTCCCGAGTTCGGCGGCGGAGGAAGACGGGCAGCGGCATCGGCTGCTCGTAGACGATGGGCGAATTCCTGTTGCCCTTGGTCGGAAACTGGAACATGTACATTACCAATGGCGGGCTGTTTTTCAATCCCAGGACTTTTCGAGGGTCGGGGGCGACGCCGCGGTGGTGTGGTGTATACTCTTTTTTCCCCGATGTCTCGGGGAAGCGACGAAACATGTATACACCAGGATCCCGTATACACCAGAATCTGCGTTTTTGTGCGAATTTCGGCGCAGGGTCGGGAAAAGTGTCGATGTATAGAGTTCGATTCCCTACTTGGGGTGCCTCCCGCTTTGTAGGAGGGTCCATCGAGTCTTGTCGTCTTGGCTAGAAAACCGACCAGGACCCTCCGAGGACAGGTTTATTGCATTGGATCCCGAATATGTATGTTGCCACACTTCGAGCAGGCTGGGGTGGTCGAGCCTCTGTGAGGCTCCGGCATGAGAAGCATATGACCTGTCGGAAACGAGCAAAGAGAAGCCAGCTGGGGGGCATACCCAGATGTACTTGCCTGCATGTCTGGTGGCCGCTCTGACACGGGAGTCTATGCAAATGAACCTCTGCCCCGCCGTCTCCCACTTGTGCTCCCGCCTCTCTCCCCCAGACATGAGGGGGCGGGGAGCCGTGGGAGGAGGCTGGGGAGGAGGGTGTTGGGGCGGCTTCCAAACATTTTGGGCAGAGGCCGAACCGACTGGGGGCGATAGAGATTTGGCAGGCTTGGCTCAAGCCTTCTTAGATGTGCTGGGTCCTATAGGCGGCCATACCTGCAAAGTTCGCGCTACGAGGTGCAGGTACTTCCAGAGAAACCTACATTCTTCCGAGTGGCTCTCGATCTCTGCTTCGGAGGCCCGTTGAGAGCACGAAAAGCGATTCCAGCAAAGCGGTCGGCCCAATAGATACTCCGAGAATCGGCGCACTCTGAGGATCCCAGGGCCAACGCGTCTAGATCCTGGTGGGCCTTGACCTTGGATTTTCTGAGTGGGGGGTGTCAGCCTATGGCAGGACGGGCAAGTAGGCCTATCCCAGCGTATCTGTTTCGCCGAGACAGCCCCGTGGAACATAAATCTGTGATGTCCTGGTACTCCAGTGAGATCCCAGTGATCTGGGAGGAGGGGAGGAGGTGGAGGAGGAGGAGGAGGAGGAGGAGGAGGAGGAGGAGGAGGAGGAGGAGGAGACATCAGCAAGCACGGCACAGTGCTCAGCAGCGGGGGGGCTGGGGGAGGCCACGACCGACTTGACCAGTTAAAGCCGCTATGATTTCGCCTTGGTCTTCTGTCTCGACGACCGCCCATCCAGGTGTGTGATAGGTTCTGTCGCCAGATTTTCGAACGCGAGCCGTCCGTGGAGACTTTGCCTACTAGGGCCGTCTCAGGGGTCACCGAGGGATCCGCGGACCAAAATTTCAATGAACTAAGGCCAGGCCCAGCTGGGGCTCCGGTGCCAAACTCAGGCTCAACCTGAAAGCCAGCAGCGAAGGGAAATCGGTCTTGTCCTGTAAGAAAGAGCGTTCTGTGGTCGCTCGGAGGGGGGGGGTTGGAACCGGACCCCCCCCTCCTCCCGTGACGGAGGGGGGGGGGTCGAACCCCGCCCCCCCCCCCCTTCCTTTATCCCCTGCTTCCCCTCTCCTCGGGCCGGCGCTTGCGTCGGTGGCGGGTGGCGGGCGGCGGCGGGGACGACGATTTCCTTTTCTGGGCCGGCGCTGGCGCCTGCAGCGGCGGGCGGCGGCGGCGGGGAGCGTCGACGAGGACGACGGTGGTGGTGGTGGTGGTGGTGGGTTGGTGGTGGTGGTGGCGGTGGTGGTGGTTGTGTTGTGGTGGTGCGGTGATGTTGTGGTGGTGGTGGTGGTGGTGGTGGTGGTGGTGGTGGTGGTGGTGGTGGTGGTTTGATGGTGGTGTGGTGGTGGTTTGTGGTGGTGGTGGTGGTGGTGGTGGTGGTTGTGTGTGGTTGTGGTGGTGGTGTGGTGTGGTGGTGGTCTGTGGTGGTGGTGGTGGGTTGTGGTGGTGGCGGTGGTTGTGGAGGTTTGTGGTGGTGGCGGTGGGTTGTGGCGGTGTAGTGGTGGTGGTTGTGGCGGTGCTGGTGGTGGTGGTGGTGTTGTTGTGGTGGTGGTGGTGGTGGGTGGTGGTGGTGGTGGTGGTGGTGATGGTGAGTTGTGGTGGTGGTGGTTGTGGTGGTGGTGGGTGGTGGTGGTGGTGGTTGTGTGGTGGGTTGGTGGTGGTGGTTGTGGGTTGAGGCGGTGGTGGTGGTGGTAGTGGTGGTGGTGGTAGTCGTGGTAATCGTCGCTGCGTCCCCGCCGTCGCCGGCGCCAGCGCCCGCCGCTGGCCGCCGCCAGCGCCGGCGCCGGCGCCAAGGGGGGGGGGTTGAACTCCCCTCCCCTCCCCCCCTTGGGCTGCCTCTGGTCATCGTCGCGGCGTCCTCGCCGTCGGCGCTGCTGGCGGCCGCCAGCGCTGGCGCCGGCGCCGAGGGGGAGGGGGGTTCGGGATGGGGGGGCTTTGAGGGGGAGGGGAGTCCCCATGGTTTTGATCGACGGCGCCGAGTGTTGGAAGGGGGTGGGCACCCCCGGT